AGGTACTACATGTGGACCTCTCTCAGATTTGTTCATTTTGTAATGATATCTTTAATTCTCTAATTTTGGTGAATATTTTTGTAATTTTTGGTAAAAAGTGATATTTTCGACTTCTTGTTGAAAACCGCAAGTGCTATTGCTTTGATATTACATATATAGGTACTACATGTGGACCTCTCTCAGATTTGTTCATTTTGTAATGATATCTTTAATTCTCTAATTTTGGTGAATATTTTTGTAATTTTTGGTAAAAAGTGATATTTTCGACTTCTTGTTGAAAACCGCAAGTCCAATTGCTTTGATATTACATATATAGGTAATGTGGACCTTTCTCAGATTTGTTCATTTCATGATGATATCTTTAATTCTCTAATTTTGATGAATATTTTTGTAATTTTTGGTAAAAAGTGATATTTTCGACTTCTTGTTGAAAACTACAAGTCCAATTGCTTTGATATATTATACATATAGGTACTACATGTGGACCTCTCTCAGATTTGTTCATTTTCTAATGATATCTTCTGTTCTTTAATTGCCATGTGCATTGCTAACAGCGGAGCTATCTCAGCCAAGAGGCTGCTTGTTTGTAAAAAGTGATATTTTCAACTTCTTGTTAAAAAACACAAGTCCAATTGCTTTGATATTACATATATAGGTACTAAATGTGAACCTTTTTGGCTGTTTTGCATGGAATTTATTTTCACTGTTTTTTAGTTAAAGTTAAATGTAAAATATATAAAAAAAAAAAACAGTATATTTGCTAGATTTTATTCTCACTGAATTATTCCTTCAGCGAAAATAGCAAAAATTAATTCCAAGTGAAAATAAAGTATTTTACAGTATTCGGTCTTGACCCAGCACTCTGTTTACTGTTGTTATTTGAGGACACTTTCTATAATACTAAAATGGTCACCAAATTTAACAAGTGTTTGTCCCCTTGACACTGTTCGGCGGTGTGAGCGTTGGCTAGTTTAAATAGGTTTTGATTGTATACAGCGCCACCAGTGACTGTTCCTGGCTCCATGCGTCCAGGTGGAGTACATCACATTTAAACTTTGTCACGATGACAATCACCATGCATGATCAATTTGGACGATCCATTTCCTAACTTAAAATGTAAAAATAGTAAAATCCAAAGGTGTGGAGATAGTTTAAAAACACATTCTTACCAGGTGCTAAGTTTATTTCACCCAAAACCATAAAACTTGAATTTCCTACAAGTTAGGGTGATGTCAGTGATAGCGCCCTCAATCAACCAACAAAACATTTCTTGCTTTCTTTTTTATAAAAAAGCACACAGACTGGCATGTTATGACAAATGTTTTTGTTCTTTATTTCAACTACATGATGTTGTCAATTTAAGTGCCAACAACTTGTGTGCCGGACTATACCTTTTAGGTGGGGGATGGCGGCTGTGGGGTAGTTAGCATGATGTGGTTGATTGACAGGTCCTTAAGTAACATGCTGCCTTTGTTTTATTTTACATGCTGCTTTGAACCATTCTAGTTACGATTTAGGTTTAAAAATAAAGATCAGAGATAGGATATTTTACAGGCTGCTCACTCTAGTTACGAATTAGGTTTTTAAATAAAGATAGAATATTTTTGGGTATTTTTCAAGACCAATGTCGATTGCTGATTACAAATTAGAAAGAATGATAGCAAACTTTGGACTTTGGCAAATTGAAGAAAAAATTGCTATAAATCATAATTACCGGTACTATACTATATAAAACATGGAATAACTGGCCAAACTGATTTATATAGGATGAGAAAAAGAACATCAAATCAATTGTTTTGTCATGGTTTTCGTGCTGATGAAGATTTAATAAAACATACTGTCGATTGGTGATATGAGGAAATGCTGAACTTTATTGACTTTTAATAATGTGGATCAAATTGCATTCACAATTGTGATTCCTATACATGCATTTGACAGGCACTTTTAAGACTACAGTGAATACTGTAACATACATTTGCAGAATTATAATCGTCTATCTTCTAATCAAAGTGGTTCACAGTATATCTTGTGGAATTTGATATATATACATGTCTTTGGTTTCAGATGGTTCTGATAGTGGACTAACATCAGATGAACTTGCTGCCTCTGTAGCTACATTACAGAGTATATCAACCCAGTTAGAGGCTGATATGGTGTTACTCAGAGAACGTACCATACAAGGTGGTTTGTTGGCAGAGTACCTTGTCAGAATGAAACCAGATGATCAAGATTTCTATGAAATCAGGTAAATTTGCTTGTCTTGTCTAGGTTTATATTTGTACTTTTTTTGGCAGGAAGAATCTTTGTATTTTGTTATGAATGTCAGTCTTGGTAATTTGAGACATTTTCTATGGAGCCCTGCGATGAAAATGTTTAAATTGTATGCATGGCATTTCAATGACTTTTTATTCAACGTCTTTTTTTAATCGTTCTAGAAATACTAAAGACTCCATAACCCTGCATCGTTTCTGGTTACTGCATGACCAAGCACATAACAAAACTTCAATACATTCATTGGTGATTCATAATGTACAAGATATTATTACATAGACCAATTCATACACAGATGTTAAGTGACACGATCAACTAAATTATATAAACATTTATCATGTACAAAGATACACAACATTAAAAAGATAACAAAATGACTATGCTGGCTGAAAAGGTCATGTGATAAATATAATAGATCAGATAATGGTACGTTAGATTACAATGAATTCTCTCAATACAATTCATTGTAATAAACCCCCTCCTCAAACTAAGAATGTCTGGGAGTGTTTGTGTGTGCAATGTCATGTTATCAGGTGTTCTTCATTCTTTCAACAATTCACCGTTGATTCACTAAGGAGTAGACTGGCGACACAGTTAGCATGGACTCCTGATGTAATCTTGTATGAAATGGTGATCCCTCAATGCCTGTTGTGTCGTCACAGGAAGCGCTGTCCCAGCACAAACCGGTGTCATATGACGCCTTACTAAACGATTTTGGCTAAAATTCCGCTCCGCCGCCTCTTTACAACAGTGTTTATACGCGGAACTTGATATTGATTTTTACAATTTGGGTTGCCTTTGAATCACATATTTTAGTGAAATATTGTTTATAGTGTGAAATATTATTGTCATACATAATTCAATCTTTGAAACAACAGAAACTAACACATAATAACGATACTCAAATTTGTGTTTGAAGTTCGAAAGTAGTTGCGTTATTTCCGGTTTCAACTAGTTCGAAAATAGAACGTCCTTGAGCGCAATAACAAACTCCCTGCACACCTAGCGCGATATGCATCAGATCGGTGTAGAAGACGCCGACCTGCAGCGTCAATGCTCAATGCCCCTTCACAGACACACACAGACATGTGGGTGTAGACAGTTGACCAATCACAAGCATACACCATCCCTAGGGCTTGGTTCTACACAGCATGAGACACAAATGTTAAATGAAAATTCAGTCATGGGTAATATCACCATATGCATACTGAGCGCTTTCCCAATCTACAGCTTTCATTCAAAACTACAGTTCACCCACGTTTTGCCAAGTACATCTGGAGATCACAACACATTGTATCAGCAGCGATTCCAACAAAACATGAACTACAATCTGTTTTTACTTGCATCATAAACAAAACTACAATGTACCTGCATGTGGTGAGAAAAAGTATGTTAAAACAGTGTAATTTCTGTGGTTACAACATATAAACAGAAATTAATATTTTGCTGGCCTGTAGAGGGTGCTAGTACTGTTGCATAACAACATCAAGTTTTCTTCAGAACATTTGGACAAAATTTTGTCAAGTGTTTTGGAATAAATGTGGATGCGTTCCACACACAGTAGACAAAACATGCATTTCCTCAGTCAATGCAGATAGAAATAGAAATTGTCACTAAGCGTGAATGATCATGTCACTGAAAAGTTCATTGCTTGATTGGGTAGCTGCTTGAACCCGTGTCAGTAAGAGCCCACCAGACCGATAAAGCTCTCAGTTGATTGATCCTTTCTGATTGAATCTAAATTGCTTTTTGTCATTTTTGGTAAAAAGTGTTATTTTCGACTTCTTGAATATTATCCACTGTCTACTAGTAACTACTGCTATGCTTGTATCAGTGAATAGACTGCTTGTTAACTTATTGTATGAATAAATTAGTCAAACAAATCAACCATAATCAAAGCTATTGTTATTTAGAATAATGAATGAATGAATGAATGAATGAATAAATGAATAAATAAATAAATAAATAAAAGTATTTATACAATATAAATATTTAACATAAATACACTGTACCATACTTATATACATACATCATAAGCATCTTCCGCGGTATTAGACCACACTTTAATTTTAGTCACAAATAGTTGAGGGCATCCTATTGTATTTCACTCAGTTAATGTTAAAAATAAAGTTGTTGTTTATTAAAATATTTGTGTAAAGTGTTTTTCATTACATGGAAATCATGATAGGCACAGTTTTTTTATGGACACCAAGAACCCCCCCCCCCCCCTAGACTCGCTACTGGACATTCATGTCTTTTTTTCACAACAATAGGATAATTATCTTAATTGGTAACATTTTCATGGTGGCTGTTTATTTGGAGTTTTGGCTGGGCCGCTGACCAGTGTGACAAGATCACTGTTAATACATACTTGCATTTATGACTTGCATACTCATGGACAAGTTTAAAAGAGAAAATTCATCAGACATATATGACATATTCAGATATATTGATTTAGATATCAGTATTTATGATTTGGAATCAGTTGTTATGAATGCATATTTGGGTAATCGTTGCAGATTGGTTCCAATCTAGGAAATAATTCATTCACTGAAATTATTCTATTACTCAGTTATTGCATCCTCCCAAGGTTCAAGGTTGTTCATTTCATAATTTTGGGGGTTTTCCCCTGATGAGATGAAGGGAAAATTGTACAAGTGACAAAATGTGTTACACTTTCAAAGAATACCAAGAGTATGGTAACCAAAGTTTAATTATGTTTGAGATAACCCTAATTATTATATACCTCACTCAAGTACCATTTTAACCACTATATTTTGGTTACCAGGGTTGCTGTCGTTGGTAACGTAGATGCCGGTAAAAGCACCTTACTGGGTGTGTTGACCCATGGTGAACTTGATAATGGAAGAGGTTTTGCCAGGCAGAAATTATTTCGTCATAAACATGAAATGGAGTCTGGCAGGACAAGTAGTGTTGGAAATGATATCCTTGGCTTTAACAGCTGTGGTGAAGTTGTCAACAAAACAGACTCACATGGTAAGTTATTTACAGAAGATATATATACATATAAGCTGATTACCAGTGATGGAATTAATTGAAAATCAAAAGTGATACTTCAGGCCACAGTGATAGAGGGACTGTGTTCAGGCATTGCATTTTTTAGGAGAAAGTTCCAATGAGAATATTTTTTTTTCAAAATGGGGGTCCAGCAGAATGTGCGTTTAGTGCAATTCCTGCCTTTCAATAAAAATGACTGGTCAATCCTGTGCTAGTGTCCACCTTTATATTAAAACAAATCTCAATAATATTTACTTGTAAAGTTCCTGGATATGAAGGCAACTTGTTGAAACAAAATTTGTACAGTGACTGATTTTGAGATTTATATTTAGTCATACAAATGTATGACTAGAAAAAGCTAAAATCCTGTAAAGTTGATAGCCAGATGAAGCATAGTGTCGCAACAATGAATTTGTTAAATCTGACTGCATGTGAACTATTGCTGTTGCACAACATTACAATTTTACATGCTAGTGCAAAATGCGATTTCTCAGTTTGGAAAAGCCGATTTGGCAGGTGAGCTACAAGTCTATGTAGAATTGTAATATTATACTATACCTCTTGTTTTTCTGCAGGTGGTGGTCTTGATTGGACAAAGATCTGTGAAGCGTCGGCTAAAGTGATCACATTTATTGATTTGGCCGGACATGAGAGATATCTGAAAACCACGGTATTCGGCATGACAGGGCATGCGCCTGATTTTTGTATGCTCATGGTAAGTTTATAATATTTGGATTATTTCTAAATCAGTGCTAAGCTCTCTTGTCAACTGCTGCACTAAAATATACCCTGTTTTAATGAGTCATCTTCAGGCTATTAGCCAGAAATTTGCAACTACCAGACCAAAACAATTGAACTTTTGGATATATTTTTTTAAAATTATCAAAGAACAATAGGAAAAAACAGAAAAATGGGAAAACGTTGCTAGTCCAAAATCAAAGTTGCCAGTCCGTTTGGTGAGTGGACTGGTGGCTGGCTAAAACCCTGGTCATCTTATTTCTCTGATTAAATATAGAATTTTTTTTATACTGAATCACTAAAATATTACTGTTAAATTTAATTATTATTCACCACGTCCTGATTATGAACTGTCCACCGAGTTGAAATTGTGCGTGTTCAACAATTCTAAAACTGGAGATGCCATGATTACAAAACCGCTCATGTAGTTCTAATGTTTTTACTGTCAAATTCATTCAAATAAACCTGTGAGTCAGCATCACTGTGAATCAAGCTAAATGCTAAATCAAATGCTAAACAAACAAATGCTAAATCTTCCATTCATCCACTGAATTTAATCAATTGCTAGTCTTTCAAAAAACATTTTTTACCTTGTCTTGTGATTTAGACATTATTGTTAGCTATGTTGGCTTTGAAAAGAGTTACTTAGGGAGTCAAAAGGGACCACCTTCATCAGATCCTAAAGATAGCATGCTAACTACAGGCGAATATTGCCAAAATGACTCTCTGCATCGGAAAGTGTTGAAATATAAGAAGATTCCAAGATGAGTTGGCAGTGATGTTTAGCTCGAGGACCGTAGATCTGCTAATCTATAGTGATGGTGCTGTGCCTGTCTTTGTGTCTTGATTTTTGTTGTGTTCTTAACTGGGTCAGTATAGATGAACATTTTTCTTGAAAAGCTGACCCACCAAAAACTATGCAAATTAGCTTAAAAAATGTTTAAAGCGAACCTAAATGCGGCCTTAATTTATAGTTGTGTATATTCTAAACTGTATTCGAAATAATATTGCAGTGGTATAATTTTGTTTTAATTATAACTGTAGCATGGATAGGCATTTGAAGTTCTTGCAATTAAACACCATGGAGGCCATTCATGGAGGGGAATAAATAACAAACGAACATATTTAACATCCGGGTACTTTTCAAAGCTATGACGTTTTAGTATCTGATCGCATTCGTACACGCCATTGTACATAGCTGTTCATGCTGCGAAGCATTGTGTACTACTAGTATAAACTCAACTTTTATATGCACAATGTGCTTTTTAAAACTTGGGTTAGAGCCTTATGCGTTTGAACCACAGTATTCTGAGAGTGAAAGCCCATTTGCGTTAAGTACCATACTTCCCCGATCGTACCCCCCCCCCCTCCGAGTATGAAGCCCATCCCTATATTTTTACTTGGTATTTATCGAGTTGAGAGCATTCACGATTATAAGCCCAGAGTGTTTTTACTGGGCGTCGACGATATTCTTTAAAATATGCGTGTAAAAGGTGTGTTTCATTTCATAATAATCGTGATTGGCTTGGTAGTTTGGTTCATGCTTTTAGTTTTATGAGAAAACTCGCATTAATTTCAGAGTGCATGGCGAACGTACACAACGTGGTTTGCACCCTTTCTATTCTGTCATTTACTCAGGATGAACCTCGATATTGCAATTCTGGAGTAATCCCTATTTTTTTTTGAGTAGTGGCTTTCGAAAAGCCAAAAATGTGATCGTTAAGTCGTGTACCTGGCTATTGGGCATGGTTTACTTTGAGACTATCTGGTCTATCATGAAAGGTCTAGGGTTTGAACGATGGGACATGTTGGCGATCGAGAAAGGTGTTTAAATTCTTCCTCCACACTCAGTTTACCCACCGTTACTATTAACTGTCATTTATATTTCGGAAATTGCGAATCGCCAGTTTTTAGGAAAAAAAATCATTGTTTTTTCGTTGCAATCAGTGCTACAGATCACATTTTAACATTGCGGTAATTCACTTCCGCATTGCGTTAAAAAATCATCGTCAATAATCGAAAAATTTCATCATTACGAAACATCATTTTGTTTGGTTAATGAAAGACATGACCTGTTATGTCAAAGGAAGTTGTTCCAGGTCAAATCATGCTGAAAAACCTCATGGTGGGAAATTGCTTTGCGTCGAGAGTTTGCGTACGAACGAAAACATATCAAAACGAAAATAATGATAAATGCCTTCATCCACAGTTTCCCCACAGACCCTACCCATTATTTCACCGTAAATTCAGACGGTATGTAAATCGTATTGTAATAAAATGTGTGTGTTTTTTATGAACATGTTTCTTTCTTCATTGTAACTGTCGTTCAAATCAATGACTCATTTTTTTTCAAAAATAAGTATTATTTTCCGGAGCCCGGCGTGGTGAACGAATAATTTTTTTGGATAATTTTTCGTTGTTTGCAAGATGGTTACAGTGTTGCACCCCAAAACAAAATCATTTTTTCTGAGTTGGTCCTCGAGTACAAGCTCATCCCTTACTTTTCCCTTACGTGTTCATGCCTCCGGGCTTATGATTAGGTATACTGTGAAGATTCAGATCAGTCCAGTGTGAGTGATGAGAGTATATCGTCGATGATGCCCCTTGTTCGGATGATAGTATATCGTCGACGATGCCCCTTGTTCGGATGAAAGTTTTATTTCAAATTACACGGAAGTCTGTGAACAATCTGCTTGCTGTTCCTGTGACACTTGTCCCATGATTTGCCGGTGCAGCCCCGTGAATACATGGACGAAAATGTTTCCACCATCACCCTACGAACTCAAGATTACATACTCCAGCATCCATACTTTGAATAATTTACACACCGCACAGTGCAGTAATGGAAACAGCAGTTAGACAAAAAACAAAACAAAATGCCTGTCTCGATCAATCGCACATCCATAATGTTTGTATGTTGATACGCTTGTAAATAACATTAACGTAGAAATCTAAACAACCTAAACTAGAAGTCAGTTCACCAGTCCAGCCAACTATGGCTCCCTAAGTTGCTTATATTTAATCAGATACTATTTCGTCATCATGCTTTGTTACCTGTTTATACCTCATGAGGGCGATTTTTTATGGCAAGATGGCGCAAACGGAAGTCCTTCGCAGTTTTATGGTTTCTCATATTTAAATTATCATAACTCTGAAGATATTCATTTTTTTTTTCAAATTTATAATCAATATACATAACTTGATAATTACAATCACCAAAATAGGCTCTATTTAGTTCCCCTTTAAATGACTTCTACTATGACACTGTTTGGTCTGCAGTGATGTTATTGATAGTACAAACTCATTGACCTTTATCAGATTTGTTTATTTCATAGTGATATCATTAGTTCGCCATTTTAGCAAATATTTTTGTCACTTTTGTTAAAAAATGCTATTTTGCCTTCTTGAAAACTACCAGGTGAATTGCTTTGATATTTGGCAATATCTTCAATTCTATATTTTTGGCGAATATTTTTGTCATTTTTGGTGAAATGTCATTTTTGACTTCTTTATATGTACTACTAGTAATTCACAGAGATATCATTTATCCAGGGTTGATGAATCTACTACTTGGGCACATCATATGTGTTGAGACACTTATAATAGAATGTAAACAAGGCCAAGATTTTCTCATAATTATATTTATGTAATTATGCTTGCCCTTCTTGCAAGGCTCTGCTGAAACAGCGGAATCATTTTGACTGTCAGGTCACTTGTTTGTTAGTATACTGTGAGCAACATTTCAGTGCTATATTAGTGAATGTAGTATGATAGTCTTCTTTTTAAAATACTAAATTTAAATATTCGCAAATTCTGCTTCATGTACCTCCAATACCTCAGCACACAAGAGTTCCTTCTAATCTTTCTCTGATTTGTTTCAGATTGGCAGTAATGCTGGTATAGTTGGAATGACTAAGGAACATCTTGGATTGGCATTAGCACTCAGTGTTCCCGTCTTTGTTGTGGTCACTAAAATTGACATGTGTCCTCCAAATGTCTTACTAGAAACACTCAAGTTACTTCAGAGGATACTCAAATCACCAGGATGTAGAAAAATTCCAGTTCTTGTAAACAACTCAGATGATGTGGTTGTTACAGCAACAAACTTCAGCTCAGAGAGGTGATGATATGCTTGTTTATTGGGGCTTACTTGGTACTGGATGTTTCTTTCTTTCCTATGTCCATAGAGCATATAGAATGAATTTTCGTCTTCAAGTTGCATCATTAGTTTAGCAACTTCATTATATGATACTGATTTGTGATTGAGGTAAAGTCAACATCCCACTACTCAATTTCAAATGTACATGTAATTTCTCTCTGTTCAGTTATTTAACACAGAGTAGTTTTGAAGACTTGTTTATATTCTTTCTCCATAGAGTGTGCCCAATCTTCCAAATTTCAAATGTCAGTGGTGAGAACTTAGGCTTACTCAAGATGTTCTTAAACTTGCTGTCGACAAGAATGGACGCAAACATAAAGGAACCTGCTGAGTTTCAGATTGATGATACATACTCTGTACCAGTAAGTGATAATAAGGACCCAGTGTCTCATCTTAAAATTTCTAGAGCTTTCTCCCCACTAATTCTTGGTCTGTGGTTTTTAATGAATTGCCAGTCACACAGTATATGCAGCCTATGTCATGACCTAATATTTAAGCAGTAACTGCCTTCTCTGAAACCACTGATTCAATAATTTATTGCAGGGTGTTGGCACTGTAGTGAGTGGGACTACATTGAAAGGAATGATCAAACTCAATGATAACCTGTTGTTAGGACCAGATGCACTTGGACAATTCTTACCGATTGCTGTTAAGAGTATTCATAGAAAAAGACTGCCTGTAAAAAGTGTACGCGGTGGACAGACTGCCTCATTTGCATTAAAAAAGGTCTGTGTCAAAATATTTGATGCATTGTGATGTGGAAATATTGCATTATTATAAGCCATCACTTGTTGGTTTGTTGATAGCCTACCATATTAGGGAACAGTTCTCCAGCATAAAAAGCATTATTTTGGGGTAAAATTCCATGCATATTACCGAGGTAATTACCTAATTTGTATAATGATGTCAGTGGCTACTGATATTTCAAGTACTAATCTTTGTGATTCAATGAAACTTGGTACATAGATTCTCCAGGACTGTGCACAGTTTTGGTTTAAAATATGTGCATATTAATTATCTAATTTGCATAATTAACCAATTTTTGACTTTTCCTAAAGTCTAATCACATAGGTGGTCTGTGAAATTTTGCAGACCATATTAGTTTTACATTAAAATCTGTGGATATTACTTTCCAAAGTTGCATCATAATTTATCAGTTTTCAGCTTTTCCATCAATATCTCAAGAACTGTATTAAAATTAATCATCACATTAGAATGAAACTTGGTACTGGAACAATACACAGACCTAATTAGTGTTGGGTTGCAATCCATGCATAACAATTGCTTAATTTGCATTATACATGTAATAATAAAATTGGATGAGTGACGTAAATGTGTGTAGTAATTGAAAATATGAAAATGTATGGACAGGTAAACCAGAGCATGTATTAAGCCACTTGAATTCCTACTAAAGCAAACAATTTGGGCTTTTGCAGATACTGACAATAATAGTAGTCTGTCATCAATCATCTAATGTTTGTAAAACTAAAATATTGCAATCAAATTTACTTTTCAGATAAAAAGGAAAGACATCAGAAAGGGTATGGTGATGGTTTCTCCAGCTGTACAACCCAAAGCATGCTGGGAGTTTGAAGGAGAAATACTTGTATTGCATCACCCTACTACAATCAGTCCACGATACCAAGCCATGGGTAAGATCATTTCATACCGATCCCTCATGTACATTTACAATGTGATGTTGAGTCACAATTCTGAGATCATTTCCTAAAGCTTTATCTGTTATAACAGGACTATTATGTGAAATATTTAATGCAGTGAATATGCACAAATTGAAGTCACCCACAGTAATTAAGATTGAGTGTGAATATTTATTAACCACACCTAATTTGCATTATACTTTTCTGGCTTTCCACCGATTTTTTTCAAGAAATAATCATCTCACTATAATGAAACTTGGTACATATGTGGCCTGGAACAATAAAAAGACCAAGTAAAAATTACCTTATTTTCCCTTGAAATCAATTTTAGTTAGTCTCTACATTTTACATTTAAATCGTCAAAGATGAATAAATTCCATACAAAACACCCAAAAAGTCTTTTCAGAGAAAATTAATTCTAGCTAAAATAAAGTATTTTACAGTAATTAGTTTGGGGTTGAAATCTATGCATAATAATTGCTTAGTTTGCATAATATTTACCCCATTTTTTTTTTCCAAAAAATATTATTGCATTTTAATGACTAGCTTTATAAGTGTCTAGGAACAATAAAATAGTTTTAGATTGAAGTTTAAGTACGGTAATACAAATTTGCATTAGCATCACATTTCATTGAAATTTGGTTCATATTTAATCCACAGATGTGATTTGTTTAATAATGAAAAATATGGATATTGATTATCTAATTATTAATAGCCAATTTCTGATATCTCAAAAATTCAGATTGAAATTAAACTTGTACCACAGGGTAATTATAATACATTAATTATAATTGCTCTGGAATAAATTAGACTGGAAACCACAGATCAAATATATTGTATTATAAACTTGTGGATCACATTGTTTTCATGTTGTACATCTCAAATAGCAGACAAATATTTGTGCCAAGCATCTTGTTTGAAAGGCTAATTAATTTTTAATACTTCTCCAATACTTTCAGCACATAGGAGTTTTTTCTTTGATTTTGGTTAAATGTACGTCACTGATTTGTAAATTTGGCTCAAGATGGTGGCCATTTTTGACAAATTACATACATGTACTGGTCCAAGTTTCACACCCCAATTTGGGGCGATTTCTGTTTATACGGATTCACATTCAATTTATTGCCCATCTTTCCTGAAATTAAACTGTCAAGTCGTGAAACCTGAGTTTTATTATTTTGAATAATTAAGTGTCAAAATGACTATCTTGTGTGGGTGTGAGTGGATAAACTACAATTCAGCGTGACTTGTTCACAGTCATGAAAAGTGCTAAATACTTCTTCCATCCTCAGTTTACCTTTCAGAAATTGTGAATCACCACAGATCTTATTTAAACATCAGCAATTCACTTCATCATTGCATTGTAATAAATGCTATTGCCAACTCATTTCGCAGTTTTACCCAACTCAAAAAGAAAAATATCCACCCTAATCTATCTGGTGGCACATGGGGAAAAAAATTGGCATTTGAATAGTTTTTCAAGGGAGTGCTAGACTTAGCACACACACACTAAAATCATGATTACCTCGTACATGCTTGGAGTAATTCACTTCAAATGTCATTGCATACACTTGCACATACAATAATTTTATCATTTAATCAAAGACATCCAACCGACCCATTTAGTCGTAAAAAAAACCTAAAATTAGATATTTTGGCATCTTGGCATGTGTTGTCATTTTTTTTTTTCAAACTTGGTGTAAGGATTAACCATTATTGTTAAAGTTGATCACTTTGATTTCTAAAGTCTGTATACTATTGCTTAAAAATTGTTTTGACATTGAACACAAATAAAGTAAAGAGTTTTTGTTATTGGTCACAATGGTCATGAATAGAAACTTATTAACTACTTAGTGCTATGCTATTGAATATCATACATTGTGATACACAACACGATCATGTATCTCCATAGTAAAAAAAATACCCTGAGGTTTTTCCTCTGCTGTTTCTACATCACACACAAATACTTTTATTACTCTCTGTATAACAAACAGAAAAATTCCATATGCCAGTCTTAAACACAAAGTGGACTGTGCATTGCAAATTGCTTGTTTATTGTAGAGTCTCAATTGGCAAGGTTGTAATAGTTATGCAATGTTTTTTTTATAATGGGTCTTCTTAATTTTCTCTTTGAACAGTACATTGTGGAAGTATTCGGCAGACAGCTACTATCATTAACATGAGTCAAGATCATCTGAGAACTGGTGATAAAGCCAGTGTGAGATTTCGATTTATAAAAAACCCAGAATACATCAAAGCCGACACAAGAATGGTATTCCGGTGAGACTTTTATTTTCATATTTTACATTTCTTCAGTCATGTTCATAATGAAATAGATCATTGACATCTCTAGGTAGTTGTTATCTAGTTGATTCATATATGGAGCATGTTTAAATATTTTAATTTGATTTTGAATTTTGATAAGAGTATTACGATGATAATATTAATCAAGCATATCAATATTCATTTGATGAAATACTGAAAAAAGTTTTCCATTTGCTGTACACACGACACATACACATGGACTTATAATTCAGTCTCTGTACGAAGTCATATTTCAGAACCCTCTGGACTGAATCGGTTCATTATTTTCATAGGTGGGACATATGCACATGCAATGTGGTGGATTGGACATGCTTTATCAGTTTTTGTTGAAATTCGGTGCTTACATTATACATAAAGCAGGATGATGATTTGTTTTAGGGTCATGTTTGTGCATTAATTATCTCTTCCCCGCTTGTGTAAGCAAAATGTTGGCATCATTTTTCAGACATTTCAATCTTTCCTGATGCCTAAAATAGAGTCAATCGTAATTTAAGTTTTTAATGGTATTCAAGATTAAGTTTATTGTGACTAGCGTGAATGAGTAAGTTTCGTTTCGACAATAAGTTGTTATCACTGTAAACAATGTTAAATTATTCACATGCTCAGCTTATCTTTTGAAAACAACTATTCTTTGATTTGAAAAAAAACCATGCTGTTTTCCCCAGCAAAATCCAAGCCAAAATATCGTACTACGACAACGGCAAATCTCTTCCGCGTTGCATTCAATAACATTAACATAGTTATGGTAATTTGAACATGTTGGCATCATCATCCAGCAGAATCCGGTACTACACATTTTGTAATTAAAATGTGCAGGCATAACACACATACAATTAAATTTAATTTCAGGTTAAACTCCTGGAGGGTCTATGGTTAAACGTTAAATTATAATATGTTTCACTTGCTGCACACACTGAATTGTTGAACGCTAAACAATGTAATAGTAAGGCAAATGGTATTGTCACCAGACACTGTCTTGAAGTGTAGATTTCGTAAAAAAAGACATTTTTAACTTTCCATTACTGAATGCAATTGTACTGATTATAGCTGTCAACCTATTTTTAGAAAAGGACTGTCATCATAGACCAGACAATCTCCTTCCTTATTTTGACTTAGTTTTGTTATCACTTGTTTTACAGTGAAGGAAGAACAAAGGCTGTTGGCAGTATCAGTAAAATATTTCCACATGTAGTTGCTACAGCGCTAACAGCACGACAAAAACCTCACAAAATGAGACACCAGCAGCAGTCTGCAAGTGGCAAAGCATCTCAAGGAGAAGAGGCCACTGATGGAAAGGGAAGAGGAAAAGGGTATGGAAGGGGACGAAATCGCGGAAGGCGGCGACACCATAACCAACCAGATAATGCAACATTATCAACTTTGTCCACAGTGGAAACAAGTGCAGAAAAGACAACATCTGTGTCGTCGTCAACGACTTCAACACCTGGGACTGCAGCTGAGCCTCTGAACACAGTAGTTCATCCAACACCTAAAACTGAATTGAATAATGGTAGTTGATGCTTGAAACTAGCTTTATAAATCAAGATAGGTCTGATAACAATGTTGTAGAACCATTCAGTTGCCATCATTACGTTCTACTCTTCACCCTTAAACAAATTCCCTAATTTTATTTTCTACTCAATGTTTCTGGGAGAATTGTTTTGTTTGTAAGAGTGTTTTTAATATTTCCAAACATCTCAGCAATGCTGTAAATTATTTGATCAAATTGCCTGCTGCAGTGTTTTTGTGATCAAGCTACTCCTCCCCTCAACCTCAAATCACGTATACAAAGAATATTGATTGCAGTGATTGAAATCTTCATGGAAAAGTAAGGTTTAGGCACACCTCAATTTTGTTTGACCTTGTTGGTTGTTATGTGAATGGCGCAGGCAACACTGCCAGTTCCACATGAAGGTTGGAGGGGCTTGTATTCACCTGTTTTCACCTGTTTTTCACAAAATGGAACCCATTTCAAATGGTGCCCTGTAGAGATGTCCTGCAATTTATGTATGGATACTAAGTTGATATTTTAGAAACATTTTAATAGGAATAACAAAACAAATTAGTGGAAAACTGAATCTGGAATAGTAAAATCGCAAGCATATTTGTGGTGATCTTTTTTTTTCATGCAGATTCATTGCAATCAAGTTCATGGAAGCTGCCCATCAGTTGTATCTATACAGTACACTGCACAACACAGCCATATAGTTTTACCAATGGGTCAACGCCAGGTCAAACTAATGCTCGCTACTTATTTTCATTTACTGTAGTGACTATTATGAGATTATAATTTGATAAATGGTGGTCATTTGAAAGTGTGTTTGGCCAGCTCTATTATCAAGTTGTGCTTAGTTTGTATCATATTAGAGCTTCTGTTTTCAGCATTAAATATTTGATAAATTGCAGCCATAGTTTGAATTTGCATTGCAGCAGAGGCAACAACAATAATGTATTACAATTGAATGTCATTTGATCTGAAGTATGTTTTTGTATTACAAATGTCTGTTAAGCAGTGGGGATACACTTTGACGACATGCTCCTTACAGATATTGTGTGCGATTTATTGGAATATTACTTATCAAATGCCAGTTTTCAGAATAAAAATCTGTTTTTAAATTGCTCAATGACATGGATTACTAAGAATCTACTTTTAATGTTGAAGACTAGAGGCATTTCCACTATTTCATGAATTCTGTTGAAATAACAATTTGCAAACCTGAACATTTGTGTAGGTTGAAGTCACCAGCAGAGGGCGCTTCTTTATCACAATATTATTGTATCTGTGAGGGTTTTAGTACATTCTTATGAATGTTTGTCACAAACTTTTTTTAATTAAACTGATTCTTCTTGACTGGCATTACCAGTGAACTGTTGTGAGATTGTTGGATTATTCTGAAAATCTGGTTATGCTTTGTACTGAAATTTGTGTAATTGTCAATGATACAAATCAGAATTGTTGTGTTCCCATGGCAAGATTACTACTTTATATCGCAAAATGCGTCTTGGCGACACCGAATGAAAAAGCTGTATATTATTATTAATATGGCCTCTGATATTGCGTGAACAAGGTTCCAAAGTATGAAGACGTATACTCATAAATAATTCCACTCTTGTGTGGATATAGGAGGGAGTAATTGTATTGAATGAATGAGTTCATACACAGATGGAGGGACAAATTCAAATTTACACAAGGCCAGCCATTTTTTAAAGCTTTGTGCTCTGATTTGCCGTTGTCTCACTGTAAATAAGACAAAAAAAATGTTATTTAACCCGTTGCTTTGATACTTGCTATGTAGGTACCTTGAGTGGACCTGTCAGATTTGTTAATTTGGTGATATCTTCAATGCTTAATTTTTAGAAAATATTTTTGGTAAAGCTATTTTCGATGACTTCTTGAAAACCTTGGGTCGACCTTCATAATTTGAATGAAAGACTAATCTAGTATCAACAAAAATCTTATTTATAAAATCCATATTATGAAATTTGTAATCTGATACATAGTCACAAACTTTATATTTGCTATTTCTCAGTTATGTCTCGCTTATTGCGTGTGCCAGCTGAACTGTTATGGTGTTGCATGATGGCACGTTCTAACAATTAAGGCACTATACAATTTAATGAAACCAAGGCACGCGACTAACATACTGTATAGTGCGTTCTCACTTGGAATTTATTTTCTCTGAAACGGTGATCAGTAAAGAATTTTCTGTTTTACAAGTGTCTCACAAAACAGCCATAATGCATTTCAGCTAAAATTAATTCCAGCTAAAATAACGTACGTATTTAAAAGTATATTTTGTCTTTGAGAATATACTAGGAGTGTCTGTTGTAAAGTTTACTCACACAGTCTTAATTTCTTTTACAAGCCATTCATGAAATCCTTTGCAACCAGACTCGCTTATGTTCATTTTTTTAATATTTATTAATTTTTTTTATTTTTTAGTCCCCGTTCGGACGCAGTCCGAAAACAGGGACTTATGTTTTGCCCTGTGTGCGTCCGTGCGTCCGTGCGTCCGTGATCACCTGTATCTCGAACATGCATGGACCGATTAAGTTCAAACTTCACTCATACATCACACCTTATATGGGACATATGCACATGCATTTTTTTCATGATCCGATTAACGATAGCCGAATAGCGGCCATTTTAAGGCCGAAAATGCATCAAAATCGCACATTTTCACCATTCCGGACCCGGATCTCAGTTATGCATGGACGGATTTTGTTCAAATTTGGTACATACATTAAACATAATAGGACCTTGATGCACGTCATTTTTTTTTTTGGATCGGGTTCGAAATGGCCGACTGGCGGCCATTTTGTTTTAAAGAATTCAGTTCTGGATCCGTATCTGAGACATGCTTGGATTGATCGAGTTCAAACTTCACACACACAAGGTACATCATGTCACAAATATGTATGTGCATTTGTTTCATGATCTCATTAACGATAGCCAAATGGCGGCCGCTTTAAGGCCGAAAATGCATTGAAATCGCACATTTTCACCATTCCGGACCCGGATCTCAGTTATGCATGGACGGATTTCATTCAAATTTGGTACATACATTAAACATAATAGGACCTTGATGCACGTCATTTTTTTTTTCGGATCAAGTTCGAAATAGCCGACTGGTGGCCATTTTGTTTTAAAGAATTCAGTTCTGGATCCGTATCCGAGACATGTCTGGATTGATCAAGTTCAAACTTCACACACACAAGGTACATCATGTCACAAATATGTATGTGCATTTGTTTCATGATCTCATTAACGATAGCCGAATAGCGGCCATTTTAAGGCCGAAAATGCATCAAAATCGCACATTTTCACCATTCCGGACCCGT